TTTATATGTTCCACAAAACTCTTTAAATATAGCACCCAATAAAAATATGCGATCAATTATTAACTACTTTCAAAAAATGTGGTGGAAAAAAAAAGTGAATTTCAAGAAGCCGAAAAATTGAAAAAAAAAACCGGAATCATTTTTATTTTTTGTTTTCACAAAAAAAAAAAAATAAAAAAAAATATAAAACCAAAACTAGTCTGAGTAGCTCTTATGAAAATAAAATTCCATCAATTTTTTTCTTTTTTTTGAAAATATTTGAAGAAAAAATAAATATTAAAAACTACTTGAAAATTATTTATACACGGCAATTCATCGTCGTCATATCATTTAAAAAAATATTAACCATACAACATTATTAAAAAGATCAATTAGCATTATTGTCATTAGATCACTAAGCCATCATGATAATTTTTAAGCAATCATATAAGTTATATATACACATAATATCGTAATTATAAGTTTACAATATCGTAATTGTAAATCTTTACCCTATAGTTAAAAGTTTGATTGGAATTTTAATTTCTGTCACTTATTAGTATTGCACTAAACGCCTATAAATATAACATATACACAAGCATATTTGCATATGTCTAATGAAATGTCTCAAATATATTTCAGTAAGTTGAGTTGAGAAAAAGTGTCATATTTTTATTGAAATTGCGTACCTTTTAATTTCTTTAACTACAAATAACATATTAAAAAATAGTTGAAATATATTTCAAATAATACCTGAATTTATGAAAAAAAATTATTATATATTACATACATACATATTTACATACAATATATATAATTATTATATATTATGTACATACATACATACGAGTATGTAGGTACGCAAAATTTAAATATCAAGTTTTTCCAAGTAAAAAAAGAAAAAAATAAACAAAAAAAATTGCATTACATTTGTATACCTTAAGTGTTTCATGATTGTTGTTACGACTTAAATTTCGTAAGCATTTTAACCGATAAATTTTTTTGAAATGCAACATAAAAAATAAGTTGAACATTGACGCCATTATTTTGGAAAATGCAACAAACACAAAATTAGTTCAAATGCAAGGGGAATGAATTGTGTAGATCATTGATGATTAGAAGAGCCGTTGTGTAAACGCAACTAAAATATTCATATGCTAGACATAAAGAAAGTTCAAATCATATAGACAATTTCTAAAGAGTTTTGCTTTTAATAATTTTCAAAATGTCAAATTCTGTTGGAGACTTCAAACATTAATAAAATTTGCAATTAATTTATAATTCAGCTGCATATTTCTAATATCATTAAAATTGTCTCATTAATCAATTATGTAAATTTAAAATAAAAACACTAAAATTAAATTTTGATGCTTTCAAAATAACAACGCAGTACTTTTCAGTGAATAGTACTAAAGTCCTAGTTTTATATTTTAGCAAAGGTATTTCTTATCAAGTTTATGGTATTTTATACCATTTCAACTAAATATGTAATTGTGTCACTATTGTTTTGAGTATGTACTTACATACTTTATACGAATTTAACTTACTTGTTTACTTAAAGTTACTTATTTTACATACATACGAAAAACAGCAGCCTACATAAATAAATTTACTTAAAAAATTTAATTTTTCTGTTTCTTATATACATTTGAAACAATTTATGAAACTGGTCCTATTACGCCAGGCATTTATCTTTATTACATATTTAAACGTAAATTCAACATTTCATGCTTAAAAAAAAAAATAATAATTTTAAAAGAAGAAAAAAGTTTCATTTTTTCTTAGCAAAAACAAAAAAAAAAAACATTAAAAATTTATAAATAAAAAGTTGTAATTGTTGTTTGCCTCAAGAAATTCTTGTGTTGCAAATGATGAATAACAACATTTTTTTCTTATTTATTATTTTTCTTTAAAATTTTTCGTTATATGTTATAAAATTTCATTTATAATATTATAAAATTTATAAGATATTTTTTAAAGTAAAATAAAAACATCATCCTTTTACTCTACCTTGTTGAACTGCAGAACTAGTTAATTACATGCGAGAATATTTTTTTAATTTTACATTCAAACACACAGTAAAAGAAATTTTTTTAATCTTAAGAATGTAAATTTTTCTCTGTTCACGTTAATGGTCATTATAAATACAATAAATATTATTGCTAAAATTTTATTATATCGTATTATATCGTATTGTGTTATCGTATTGAATGTCATTTACACATTAACACACAAGTAAGTCATTTCAGTAAAATTGTGTAACATGGAAAAAATGATTGGAAATGTTTAAAATATCAATAAAAATCAACTGTTATACTTGTATAACATGTCAAAGTTAATTGCAAATAAATTTGATCTAAAACAATTAAACATTAACAAAACTTACAAAAGTCTGAACTTATGTTAAATATTCTCCTGTCTCCTGTCTCCTGTCTTATATTCTGTACGCCTCCAACTATTTTATGTAAGAATATTAATGTATATCATAAAACATTGCTTTGCTGCTTTTTTTTTTACTGGGATTTAACGTTATAAAATTATAACACTCCCGACAACACTAGTTTGTACAAAGAAGTATTTTAATTTTAAGGACAAAATTTTTGATATTTAAAATTGCTGTAGTTTACCAAAGTTTTTACGACTGTATAACAGGATTTCCGTAAAAAGCAGCATTCCATTTCCAAACTGCTACCGAACTCCATAGTAGTTCGAAATTTTAAATTCCGAATATAAAAGAAACTCGCTAAATGAATTGGCAAAAGGCAAAATTTTTTGTGCCATCATTTAAAAATTTCTTTTCAAATTATTTAAAAATAATCGACTCACATACTGCCATCGTTTAAGAATATTTTTGGCCTTTCTGTTATGCAGTGTAAATTGAATGCCGACATCATAGGGGCCTGATATTTAAAATAGTCTTAAAATGCAAATTTCCACAATAAGAAACACTTGAAATTTTTAATGTTCTTGAAACATGAGAAATCGTTTTCAATAACGTTAAACATTATGGTAAATTTTAATTTTCGCTATTATAATTGAAATTTTAATATGTACCACTTAATCCGGAACTATTTAATATGAAAAAGATGATGTTCAAAACCGAAAAAATTAATAAAAATGAGCATGTACTCTTGTTTTTCTTCATCTATAGCTCAATATACGAATATTTACACAAATGAATACTGTAAAACAAATACTTTAAACCAATTCAAATTTATGAATATAATAATGCAACCTACTCACATCTTACATATTAACAATATCAGAAAATGCAAATAAGAGGACCGAACAACGAAAGAGGGGGGTAAAAACTAAATTCCACATCACACCCAATGAAAATTCCTTTACTTAATTTTTCATTATGTAAAGCACGATCATAAAAAAAAATAAAAAAAATAAAAAAAATATTTATTTTTTTTTTTTCGTTAAATTTATTTTAATTTTTTTCTCTTTAAATAAATCCCTAAAACCGAGCCAAATTCAATCCAAAATTTTGCATACATATTTCGTAATCATTCATTTTATGTGCATAATTATACGAATACACACAGACATACGTTCATATATAATTTTATTTGAATAGAAATACCCAATTACCACATTTTCAATAATAATAGTTAATCAAAATAGCTCTAGTATAGTAAAAAAAAAATTAGTGAAGTTACAAACATAAAAAAAAGTACAATTTCAGTCACATTTTTAACAAAACATTTGTATTTTCGTTATTATCATAAACATACTTTGGAAACCGGAAAGAGAAATGGAAATTGTGAGGCACAATGCTGAAATTAAATTGAATTTTCAGAAATGGAAAAAGCAACAAAAGATTGACAGATATTCATATATTCATATAATAGTAATTCCATATTCATCCGCGCATACATTGTGTTTTTGCTTATATTTTTAAAAGCCTGACGGTATCAAAATGAAACTACATAGAAATTTTTCATATATGCCGGCAAAACGTGATCGCTGTTAATTCTCTTATATATTTTACTTACGTATTTTTTTTTTTCTTCCAATTCTTCTTATATGGTTTTTGTCTATTTTATGGAATAATATCGATCATTTTCAAAGAGAAATAATAAAAAATTTTCAATTATATTGTTATATGCTTTCTAGTATTAAATCGAATATTTTGTTTTTTTCTATAAAGATCACGTAAAATGCCAACAATTCATAAGTAATAAAAGAGAAAAAAAAGGAACACAAATGAATAACAATTGAAAAATTATTTTATGTTTTAATTGTTTCCGATTATTTACAAGTCAAAAACCAAATGTGTTCCCATTACTTTTTTCAATATTACAAAATAGAAAGGAAATTAACCATTTTTATCTATTATATCCATATGCGTTATTAAAATATATTAGTTACATTCAAAATAATATAAAATACAAAAAAAATGTCGTTACAGCAAAGCTCCGAAAAAAATTAGTTAATTGAATACGCAAATGATGGAAATATATCGTTTAGACATGTACATAAAATAATTTGATCTCGAATTTTAACATATTTATTGAATTGGGTACTAACGTGAAAATATTAGATTTAATATAAAAAAAGAATTAGGTCTGTATAACAGAACAAAGACTGTCTAGTCAATAATAACAAAATCATATATAAGAAGATCAATCATACTGTCCTAGCAGTCACCTTAAAATTTCAGGCTTATTGAATTGAATAAAAAAATAAGATGAATCAAACAATTAAAATTAGCCATGAAAATGCAAAATAATTATTTTAGTTTTCACAAATTTGTGTACAGATGGCATAACGAAAATTGAAATTGAAAAAAAAAACGTTTGCAAACACTGTAATTAACGCAAAAATTGAAGTATAAAATAAATGACTTTAAAATTTACGTGAATTGAAAATTTATAATCGCGGTTCAAAAGAAAAATAAGAAAAAAAATTTAATTTTTATTGGAGTTCCGTACATGATAAACCACAAAAAAAAAATTTTTTTTATTCAATTTTGTTACAATTTTTCATAAATTTCTGTGTTTTTTTTAAAAAAGATATTGACAATGATCCAAATCGTGCTCCACCATGTGACCCTGCCGTATGTGTTTTACCTGATTGTTTCTGCTCAGAAGATGGCACAACAATACCCGGTGATTTACCAGCAAAAGATGTTCCAATGATGATAACAATAACATTTGATGATGCTATTAATAATAATAATATTGAATTATATAAGGAAATCTTCAAAAATCGTAAAAATCCAAATGGTTGTGATATTAAGGCAACATTCTTCGTTTCACATAAATACACAAACTATTCAGCTGTACAAGAGACTGCAAGAAAAGGACATGAAATAGCTGTACATTCAATTACGTAAGTTTTAAAATTAATTTTTTGATTTTTGTTAATTTTTTTGGGTAAAAAAATTTCTCATACGTTCATTGTTTATGGTTAAATTTATATTCCGTGTCCAGATGAAAAATCACAAGAACTAAATTAAATAAAATTTGATTTTGTTTTTCATTATAAAATTCAATAACAACGAACTTTCCTGGTATCGTAAATTTGATGTAATTTTTTACTGTTCCTTAAGGTTTTAAGAATATCCAATTTAAATTTTCCAATTTCGTTAAAGTTTTTGTTTATCAAATTACAATTGCCATTTTACTAATTTTATCTTCCATTATGACATCAGTTTTAACATCAAAAATATATATATATACATATATTTTTTGTTTTATTATTATTTATATTTAAAATAGACATAATGATGAAGAACGTTTCTGGTCAAATGCAACAGTTGATGATTGGGCTAAAGAAATGGCTGGTATGCGTATAATTATTGAAAAATTCGCTAATATTACTGATAATTCAGTTGTTGGTGTAAGAGCACCATATTTACGTGTTGGTGGCAATAATCAATTTACGATGATGGAAGAACAAGCATTTTTATATGACTCAACAATTACAGCACCACTTGCTAATCCACCATTATGGCCATATACAATGTATTTCCGTATGCCACATCGTTGTCATGGTAACTTACAAAATTGTCCAACAAGATCACATGCTGTATGGGAAATGGTAATGAATGAATTAGATCGTCGTGAAGATCCTGGTAATGATGAAAATATTCCTGGATGTGCTATGGTTGATTCATGTTCAAATATATTAACTGGTGATCAATTTTATAATTTCTTAAATCATAATTTCGATCGTCATTACGAACAAAATCGTGCACCATTAGGTTTATATTTCCATGCTGCATGGTTAAAAAATAATCCAGAATTTTTGGATGCATTCTTATATTGGATTGATGAAATCTTAGGTTCACATAATGATGTATATTTTGTAACAATGACACAAGTTATCCAATGGATACAAAATCCAAGAACAGTTTCTGAAGTTAAAAATTTCGAACCATGGAGAGAAAAATGTTCAGTTGATGGTAAACCAGCTTGTTGGGTACCAAATTCATGTAAATTAACATCAAAAGAAGTACCCGGAGAAACAATTAATTTACAAACATGCGTTAGATGTCCTGCCAATTATCCATGGATTAGTGACCCAACTGGTGATGGTTTCTTCTAAGTCAATTACTAAGTAAAATATTATAAAATATCTAATATATCTACATTAACAAAACAGAAAAATGAAAAAAAAAGAAAGCACAAAGTTTTGAGACAACGTTTTGTTTTATATTTAAATTATTAAATTTCCTTTCATTAGTAAACAGTAAAGGAAAATTTATAGACTTAATTAGTTTTTGAAAATATGAAAAAGAAAAATTTAAAATTATTTCAAATTTTATAGAAAAAAAAGCAAAATTAAAAAAAAAAGCAACAAAAAAAAAATTACATACACATTTTCTCAATTTAGCACAAAGAACAAAAATCACTCTATCGGTCAATTTTTCAATTACAATAATATACTGTAGAAATACTCAACTAATATTGTATCAAATTTGATTTAATGCCATTAAATTTAACCATTGTAATGCGAATATTTCAATACTAGTTCTCTGATAAATTGAAAGTACTTAAAATCTGAAATCTAAAAATAAAATAATAATATTCATTTTATAATTATTACAACTATTTCTAAATTTGAACAGCTATTCAATTTATTTTGAGAATAAAAAATTTATATTACCATCTCTGTCATTATTGACATGTCATTTGCTATGAAAAATTACAAATAAAATTTAAATTTAATTTTATTCAAATCAAATTCGATACAATTAATTATGTTATATTGTAGTTCAGTTTACATGTATTAAAAAATTTGAAATCAAAAATTTATTTTGTCCACTCCTTATCTTCCATATTGATATACTTAATATCAGAGTTTGACAAAATATTTTTGTTAAACTGTTATATGAACAAACAAAATCACTTTCTATCAAAATAATCAAATAAAAAATAATAAGCAAAAGAAATTGAATCAAGTGCTCAAGACTTAAGTAAAATATACTATTTATAAGTAAAATTACAGTTTACAATTCTGACAACAATTAAACTAAAAGGAAAAATTAAGCAATTCAAAATTTTCTTTTGTAAAAAATGTTAGATTTTATTTATAATAGCGTAATGAAATTACCGTAAAATCTCTAATATTATACTAAAAATTTTATTTCCTAAATTTTATCAATATTTAATTTATTATGTAGTTTTTCAACTATATATATTCAAATTTCCAATTTTGAACTACATAAAATGTCATTTGAATAAGCCATCTATCTAACAGAATTGTAAACTTAGCTTGATATTCTTATTAGAATTAAATGTATAATAAATATTAATTTGTTTATATTAAAAAGCAAAACTTTTCTTGGGCCAGAATATTTAAATAAATTTTAAATTTATAATTATTATAAGAAAAATGAATAAAGAAAACAAATCAACTCTTGTAAATAATAGGAAGAAATGTACTTGAAAAATTTTTCTATATAAATTATCATTTAATTAAACAGAAAGAAAAAAAATGTTACCATCTTACTCCTTAATCCTTTAGAATTTTTTTTTCTCAATTAATTCTAAATAGAAAACTTTTCTCAGTTTTCTTATACCTATATATACTTATACATATTTTCTTATTAGTTTTATGTTATACATGTTATAATTATAAGTTTTTAATTTTTGCAAAACAAAATATTACGGTAATATCCTTAAGAAGAACAAAAAAAATGGATAAATTAAAAAAAAATGAATATTTGTTAAAAAATTTTCCATTTTCTCCTTTCATTTTATAAGAATATATGACTTTTCTGCGGACAAAGTCGCGCTGTGTTAATTAAAAGTATATAACAAAAAAAAACAAAAAAATTAATGAAAAAAAATGTAAAAAAAAATCATTAAAAAAAATGAATACACAAAGAAGACGAAAATATTTTTATATTTTATAAAAATGATAATTTTATTATAATTTTGTAATTAATTATTTTTATAAAACAAAAAACAAAATATCGATATAAAAATTTTTAAATAAAAGTTAAATAAAAAAAAATAAATTTCATGCAATTTTATTTAAAATTTACAATTGTAAAAGCAACTGTCAAAATTATCACCAATTGTCAAAATTCAAACAAATATTTAAGGAAAACGGGTAAGTTTTTGGCGATATAATGTGAAATACAAGGATTAATCAAATTAAACTTAATTTTATTTTATAAATAAGAACAAGCCTTATAAATTAAGGTAAAATTTAAACAAAATGTTAACAGCTAAACCAAATGTCATTTCGTATACATTTTTTGACATGTATGATCTATCAATTCCAAATCTATGACAAAACTATCACACTGACTAAATTGATTTTTAAAAATTTGTTGTCAATCTGGGAAACTTACATAGAAGTTTTAGGTTTCATAGCGAACACTAAAAAAATTAATTGACAAAAACATTAATTTTAAATTGAATTGTGTATTTCACTCTTTCAGTTACCTTTTTCTTCACAAAAAAGTAAAACACAATTTAATCATTGAGCGTCAGTGGTGTTAGTCAGTCAGTCAAATGTAAGCAATTTAAAATTAATATTTATTTTATAATCCTACTTACTAACATACAAAATACATAATATGTATAATATTATAACACTTATTAAAAATATCAAAATGTATAAATATACAATTAATAAGCTCATGTAATACAAAAATTTAAAGAATTAAAGTTTTGCAAGTTTTACATTGCAACTTCATTGCATATTGTTGCATTTATTTTAGCTACTTGTTTATAATATGTTAATACGTTATTATTCAGTTACTTTAGTTTACATTATGGTTACGTCACGGTATTGAACTTATAAATTTTAATATAGCATGTAAAAATTACCTTTAAAATTTTAAAATAATTGATTTTATGAAATATTTCATGTAAACATTATGTTCCAATTTTATATGTTATGCTGGGCGAAAATAATAACTGAACTGTTCATATAGTTTTTACAGTATATTAGAATAAATAATACGTTAATAAGAACTATAAAAATTCGGGGTTTTACTACTACAATTAGTATTATGTATAGTTTAATTACTGCAGAAAAAACCTTATTTCATATTAATGCAAGTGTAAATATTTAAGGTAAATAATGATAATTATTTTTTAATTCATATATTGTTATTGTGATACAGTTGGTATTGCATAAGGTACAAAAATTTGCAATAAGTTTCACTTTCCAGAAACCATAAATTTTGTTCTGATAAAATTACCGAAATTTTGATAAAATTACCAATTACCGAAGGAATACGAAACCGTATTTTGATTAAAATTTTTGCTAAATTTGAATACGAAGATTTATGCCATCCCCGGATGGTTCAAAGTTGCCACCATAGTGTAGACCGCATTAAGACTGCATAACACTAAATTATTTAAATATTAGAGTAGACTAATTTTTAAATAGAGTTATTTAAAAATAAATTTACTCTAATGATTTAGTGTAGTTCATTCTTACACAAATATAAAGTTTTCGACAGTTGACCAGTAATAAGTTCTATTTTAGCAAAAACAAAATCAATTTTCACGAATTAACGTCAACTAAATGATCTACCTGTTTTCTATGAGCAATAAAATTTATTATTAAATTAAACGGTTAATTAAAAGGAAACTATAGGCTTTATTCTCTTTTACGTTATAACCCAGTTAAAAAATTAATTTTGTGCGTAATCGAGAACATTCAAATAAAAATTGCGATATTTCAAATTTTTTATTACTATTTATTTATGAATACCTAAATACCTAAATTAAAAAAAATATTATTGGACATCTTAAATCTTTTAATAGCTATCATTAATAAATAAACTTGTTATGCAGTTGGTAACCATCCCCTAACCTTATTAACACATAATATCTAAATAGTTTTTACGCTAGAAAAAAAGAGAAAAACAAGTTAAACTTGATCTTTATTTCTAAAATAGAATTCCAACAAATTTATTCAAAAATTAGAAAAAAAAAGTTAACGTGTAAAAAATTTATAGATAAAAAATGTTATTATGTCAAAAAATAAAAACTTTAAATCAAATTAAAAATTTATTAAAAAAGTTTTTAAATTAATTCTGTTAATTTTAATTTTAAAATCTGGACAATACACAAAAACTTTACATATAGCAAAGTAATAAAATATAATAAATTTGTTGTAGATTTTTTGCTTCAGTAGATAGCAAATTAGTAGAGGGATCAAAGTCAAGTTTTAATTATATTAGCAATTTGCTGTAAATTAAAAACATTAACGAATTAATAATGATTTTTTTAATAAAATTTCATTACAAATTTAAAAAAACTTTTGATTATAAAAATATTAGAAAAATAAAATAATTTTCAGTTTCAACTGTTACTTTAGTAAATTTAACAAAAATACTACGGTTGTCAAATTCTTTTACTTATACTTATACAAACAAACTCGCCTATTGACAGTGTCCGGATCAATTACTGTCCAAATCAATTCTTTTATTGTATATATTTTTAGACCAGAAAATTCGCCGTAATATTACTCTAAGACAGCCGTGGGCAAAGTGCGGCCCGTTCAACTCCTAAATGCGGTTTATCATTCTGTTTGCAATAAAAAAAATTAATCTATTGCGATTATTAAAATTTGTAAGAACTCAATCATAAATAATATGACATAGGTACATAAAATTCTATACGAATTTGTAATGTAAGAAACTCGATTGGACCATTTTCATACTCACATAGTACATATTTGTCCATAAGCCAGAAAAGTTTGGAGACAAGATATTCGGAAAATTATAAAAAAACATAATTCTGTTAAAGTTCTGTTAAAACACAACACACTTACACAATCAAAATAACAAATTGCACTATTTTATGTGAAATTAGTAAAGAAATCACTACAACAAACTCAAAATTTAATTGGTCTGATCAGAATTTCCGAAGCTTTGTATTAAAAAGTAGATTCGAGAAGACGGAAATATGCAAAAATAAAATTGTAATTTTAACTATCAAGAAATTTTTTAATTAAACTATACTACAACGCATATTTTAAAAAATTATAATACTTCCCGAAAAGAAATTTTTACATAAAATATAAAAAACACGAGTGCACACATCCATATATGTGTGCACATAATAACGCTCATAAGTAATTTATAGAAATTGCAGCTGACCTCCATTTAATATTCATGTTTAAATTGTTTAATAAG